AATAATACTAACATAAAAAGTTCTAATCTTATTTGAAAAGCATGGTATCATGTGATTCTTAAGATATTATTATAATAACTTTATTTAAATATATTTTATTTTAAAATATCATAAAAAATAAAATAAAAATAAGATAAAAGAATAAGAGAGTTAAGCCTAAAGATATATGTGTTTGAAAGGGAAAACTAGGCATGTTTGGGCCGGAAGTTCAAGCCTGTATTCATGACCCTAAAAAAAAAGACTGAGGTTCACTTAGCTTTTATCTTTTTTTAAAAAAAAAAAAAAGAGACATAACTGATAATATGTTGTTTGTCGATGCAGATCATGTGTCATCCATTGAAACAATTTTTTACCATGAGTTGATTAAAAAATCAAGGACCAAGTGTTTTGGGTCTTAAAACTCAAATTCAACTTATTTTTACCTAAAAAACATTTAAAAAATTCTAGAACCTGATAACTCAATTTCCAACCCCAAAACATACTCAAATTATTCTAAAGACTCAAAACCAAAATCAAAATATATTTTTTAGGTTTCGATATTCTTTTTCTGTCATGATTTAAGGTATAAAATAAAACTTTTCTTATTGAGCAAGGCTTATATGGCTTTATTGATGGATCAAAACCATATCCACAACTCTCTATACCATAAAAAATGTATATCCTACTATATCAAACTCAGATTGAATGTTAGGTTCAACAAGATCAACTAGTAACGAACACTTTAATTGATTGTTAAACCTCTCATTTTATTTAGAGAACTCTAAAATCATTTTTGGTTTCACCATCGATAACCCTAATTATATCTCTTCACTCAGGTCTTCTTAAAACATAACAGCTTCCTAGAGAACTAGTTTTGACTTATTTTTATCATGAGAAAATATATGATGATGAATTTGTAACCATTGATAAACCATTCTCTCATTAGTTTTAACTCATTTATGTTCAAAGATCTATTATCATATTTTAAATATCTAGTAACCACTTTAATCGCTCTATCTAAACCTATTATGTTCTTGAAATTACAAAGTTTACTATTAAGCCATAAATCTATACACACAAATGACTTTCATTTGCTCTCCCTTGTATCCATATTTTTTGATGACTTAATTGCCCCTTTAGCCAATATTGCTAGACAATCCACTTTTACTAATATAGTTAATAATTTTAACTATAGTGTCTTTTTGGTTGAAATTGTTTTTTAAATAAAATGGGTGAAAGAAATTGGTGAAGTTTTCAAAATATAATAAACTTTAACTGAGGAAATGAATTGGGTTGGAATCAAACATGACAAGACACCCAATCCCAATATAACATATATGGTAACTATAATCATGCTACGTCTTTTGATTTCTTACTATATGGCTTCAGTGACTCTAATTGGATTGATGTTATTGGTGATTGAAAATCTATATGTTTGTATGCTATCTATCTTATTCGTAACCTTATCTCTTCAAAGTCTAGTAAGAAGAAAATGATTTATCAATCTTTTACAAAGGCTAAATATAAGACTATTACTAATATAGTTTCTAAGACTAAACTAGTTATCCATCCTCTTCTTCTCTTATCTTATGGTGTAATAATGTTGGAGCAATTTATTCATGGCTAATATAAAATATGTTGATGTAACAGTCTGACCTGATATATTATATATTGTCCGCTTTAGGCCTTACCGCCCTCACGGTTTTGTTTTTTATGACGCGAGCCCACCTTTGAGCCTAACACCTCAAAACACATACAACATATTAGCAACCACCACTACTAATAAAGCCAACTACCAAACCCTCACCTGTAGATGTGAGATATTACAATCTACTCTCTTTAAGGAGCCGATGACCCCGTCGGCATAACCGGAAAGCCAACAAAGTCGACTCTAATACCAAAATATAGCAGCCCGGCTTAAGATGTTTTATTGTCCACTTTGGGCCTTACTGCCCTCATGGTTTTGCTCTTAGTGACGCAAGCTCGCTTCTAAGCCTGACGCTCCAAAAAACATATAGTATGTTAGCCACCAACTTTACTAATAAGGTCAGCTACCAAACCTTTACCAATGAATGTGAGATATTACAGTTGAAAATGATTTTCATTTTGTTTATGATATGGTTGCGAAAAGGGAATTACAAGTTTCGTTTATTGCCACTAATGATCCATTATTGGATGTTTTTTCTAAACCATTTAGTTATGATTGTTTTTTCTTTTTCCAAATCATGTTGTGCATAGACACCTTTCAAGATACGCTAAAATCATATTTGAATGTTTTGCAACTTGATCCAGTAATAACCTACCTTGGTTAACAAAAGTCATACACAATGATCACCCCCACCTTACACATGTAAAAAGACATGAACAAGTGGTATAAAATAATGATGAAGTTTATCAATCTTTTAAATAGTTTGCAAGCTCAATCTATGGGAATAACTAAACCACGGAAGAGGTAGCAAGAATGTTGACTCTTTTATTAAAAATAGTTTTTTTTTCTAACCTTAAAAAGTCTTTACAAGATAGTATTTATAATAGAAAGAATCATAAGTCTAATAGGATATCCCTAATGAATATAGATAATAAAGGCCCTAATCTCTAAAATAGCTTATAATAACTAAAAGATGAATAAAACAATAGCTCAACTAATTTAAATAAGACTAAAATTTTTTTTGTAATTTATTGACAAAATTAAAACTCAACTTCAAACACATGGTTCTATCCCGTCTTAGTGAATTAGAATGAGTGTTATATGTCACTGAAAATATATAGATGTATACTTTCCAATGCAATTAAAGTCGTTTTTATAGCTTTAGTTATGACTAAAACAATAGATAAAGATTAAAACTAGCAAATTTAAATCTTTTTATTTCAATCTTTTTGTAATGTTTAAATTCCTACCTATAAGCCCTTCTTGAATATGAATTAAATTAATTAAGGCTGATAATTTATTATTTAATATGTTTTTAAAGTTTACCTTAGTTCATGTGTCTTGAAGAAATTCATTGAAAGTCTTTTTAAACAGTTTAGCCTTAAGTAAAGAGAGATAAACAATATTGAATGTAGCATTAACGCCATACTCACCTCGTAGATTCATTTTATAGATATTGTCATTAATTCTCTCTATGATTTGAAAAGGACCGTCTCCTTGAAGCATTAATTTTGATCTTTTTTATTCAAGAAACTTTTCCTTCTTCATATACACCTAAATTCAATCTCTTAGTTTAAACCTTACTAATTTCAATCCTTTATTAGCCTTGAATGCATATTGCTTTTTTTTTTTCTTTATTCGTCTATATCTTTGTATGTAAGTCTTTCACCACGTATGTTTTTTTATTACCATTAAGACTTACTTATTTTATCAACAAGTAAAAGAATCAAATTTAATAGTGGTAAATAATTAAAACCATAAACAATATTAAATAGTGAATAATTAATAGTAGAATATACACTACAATTATATACAAATTTAATAAATGGAAAATAATCTTTTTAATTTTTAAGATTCTTTTGAATGATAGCATTTAATAATTGAGTTAAATTCATGTTAATTGTTTTAGTTTGATCACCTATTTATGGATGATAAGTAGTAGAAAATAAAAATTTAGTTCCTAACTTATCCTATAAAATCTTTCAAAAGCAACTAAAAAACTTAATATCTCGATTTCTGTTATATTCATTGCATCAACAATTTTATAGCAAGATATGAAATGTATCATCTTGAAAAATCTATCTATAACCATAAATATAGAGTCTCTTCCTTTGTTTAACTACACCTAAATAGGTTCATAGAAACATCAAACAAAGGTTTCTTAGGAATAGGTAAAGGCATATATAACTCATAAAGCATCACTTTAGACTTAACTTGTTTATATGTTATGTATATTTCACAAATTTTTTATATGTATCTTTTCATGTAAGACCAATAAAAATGCTCATGCAAAACTTCTTAAACCTTAGTAATTCCAAAGTGTCCCATTAATCTGCCCTATAAGTTTCCCTTACAAGTAATTTAGGCATTGAATAATTAGACACACATAATCTTTTATCTTTAAATAAAAATTTATTGTGCCTAAAAAATCTATTAGTTGCTCTATGTTCACATTGAAAATAAATTTTTGAAAGTTAATTGTAAATATTACCACAGAAAGCTCCAATCTTAATAAAAAAAGTATGGGATAATTGACTAATTTTTTAATAATCATTATAATTATTTATTTTAACAAAAACTTATTTTTAAATATATATATATATAAACATAAAAAATAAATGAAAGCCAAGACCATCAAACCTAGTCTATATGCCTGGTCTTAAAAAAAAAAATGATGATGGTGCATCTTTTTCTAAAGAAACAAAAAATATGTCATCCACTTCTATTTAAAATATAGAAATACTCTTTGTAATAAAGCATATACTAGAGCGACAAGACATAAATAGAACTAACATAATTTGCAATATGAAAATTTTTTTTTAAAAAATACCAAGGTTGAATGGCCAAAGTACAAAATATAAAAAAAAAAAACTCCTAGTACAAAAAAAAATTGGCAATAAAAAGGGGAATGAAGATGGTAATGAATTTGGGTGAACAATGGCAGCGCAGTGAATTCTCTACCTCTTTGTAATTTCAATTAGCTTTCATAAAATGTAAAGGCAGGCCAAGTCCGGCTTCACGGTTCAATCGATTACACTTGGCAATCCCTCACCGTTTCAACACCGAAGGCACATGCTTGATCAAGCCTAGGCTGTCTTTGTCAATTATGTAAATAAATTAAATATTCAAACATTAAACATTGCATGTGAGGCAAAGACAAAAGTGCGAACCTAAACAATTTTGCTGTGCCCAAGACATCTAAAGTAGAAAACAGCCGGTCGTCTTCGTTGTTGAAATTTTCAGCTTCACAGACCAAAAACATTGACCACAACTAATCCACAAGGGGAAAATGACACAAAACAGCGTAATCAACATGATCACATGTTTAACAAAAAAATATTAAATGGTTGCGTTGCCGATTAAGCTGAAAGGATGAGGAAAAATAATTACAACACAATGTATTTATTATTCAAGGTTAATAATTTTAAATTTACAATCCTCGGAGCCTTAATTTGAGGCCAGAAGAACAATAATTAAAGAAACAAGTGGGGAGAGAATCCCGCCTATAAACTTCACCTTCAATCTCTTCCCTCCTCTTTCTTCTCTTGCATATTTATATAAACAAATAGATTTATATTACTATAAGCACATTCACTCATCTCTTGCCTTGTTTCTCTCATAGTTTTTGGAGAAAACATGTCTCACTATTTCTTGGATCTTTCCCCATGTTGTTTCTTTGTTTCTATAACCCAAAATTGAAAGAAAAGAAAAACTATACTGCATGTACGTGCAGTTTCGACTCCATGTTTTAACTGCAGTCTCTCTAACTTTGTGTGGCCTCTTCTTACTTTACCTATGCCTCTTCTGCGCTTGCTGCTTCTGTTTTTCATTGACTAGAAGATTAGCATAGAGAATCTCATTCCACGCATCCGGCACACCAGGAAGACACCAATGGCTGCAGTCTTGGAAATGTAACGGTGATTTCCTTTCCTCCGGAGACAGCTTTTGCTTCCTGTAGACTGAAGGGTGCCCATCCTTCCGATAATCAGTCATTTGTGTAACATTTAGGTATGTGACATGTGTTTTCATGTTTCTCAACACTTTCTCAAGAACCAGCATCTTCGGTGGATACTGCCTCAGGAATGTGACGTTTTTTATGGGTTCAACCTCACTGTCACATTGCCCACCAGAATTCCATTGTCCACCGCTGCATAAAGACAGAAGCAACAAGTATTAAATTACCTGCTCCAGAGATACAATGGTGCTGAAATTTAAACAAAAAATACAAAGAGAACGGCAATCAGCACCATTCCTATCTGAGAATTCCAAGATCAATCTATAGTTTCTTATTTCAAAGTCTTGATGCCATGAAACTAACAATACCTTGAGCGTGAAAACAAATATTACTTTACCATTACTCCCTCGAAAGTCAAAAGTGGAATCAAATCAAATGATATGGGAGAAGAATACAAGGAAATCTATCATTAACAATTAAAATATTATTTGATAGCACTTCACCTGAAATGGGAAGCAGAATATCCTCTGAAGAAGACCAGAGATTTCATTGGATCTACATTTGCATCAACCCATCTGGCCCATGTTGTCAAAGCTTTTCGAAAGGCCTCTAGAACATTCAACTCATTATACACATGACTCCCTTCTTGGTAATAATCTTTCCTGCAAATACCAGCAGGTGGTTTAGTTTCCTCCAGAAAACAGAGAAACCGAAAAACAATAGAACCGCAGAGGTAAATTATGAACTCACCCTTTGGAAGTTTTGTCATGAGTCCACCAGTGTCCAGTATTGAAGACAATGATATCTGCACTTTTATATTGACTGGAAGACCTCCCTACTAAATCAAGCCTAAGTGTCTCCTTCATCGATCCATCTTTTTCGTGCATTTCCCATTCTTGAACTAAGAAAGGCGATACAAAGAATTCAATTGTGCAGTTATAATCCTGCCAATTATGCAACGACAGATTTCACAAAGTTAGGAGAAAACAAATCGAAAATACAAGAAATTCAGTTACAAAGATTGAGCAGATGGAATTGATAACCTACTTTGAATAAAAAGGAGTATGAAGCTTCCCCTCGAAAATGATGTCTTCCATTCACTTCAAAAACCTTGCTTTGATCTTTCACTGATCCTTTTAGAATACAAACCAGAGACTCCCACATATTCCTGTTCAGGGAATCGCCAACGAAAACAAGTCGCTTTCCTCTCAACATATCCAACATATGACGAGGATTCAACCTGAGCAAACAATTCAAATTAACAAACCTTGGAATTAAAAATAAATTTTTTTGATTGACCCATTTCAATTGAAGTGTTATACGAATCATACACCACAACATGAATTTGATTGATGCATCCAATGAACAGGAGAATAGACTTCCTAAATCAGGTAGCAGAAGATAACTGGCAGGCCAAAAATAATTGGATAGCTTATAATTGGACGTCCAAATCCTCACTAATCTCAAAATAAGCACGAAATCCAAAATATAAATTGATAAATTGGTGTATTTTCTACGAACCAAAGCCTCGCCCCAAAACAGAAAACTTTCCCTATAAAAAATAGCAGAAAAACTTAATAAAAAAAACCTACATACCTTGGTAAAGTGCATCCTTTAGGCTTCCATTTATATTTCTGGTAGTCTTTATCAGGCCTACCATTAATTATACAATTAAACTGCTCATCAATCAATGAACAAGACCCGGGTTTGTAAAGCGGATACGAATCATCCTTGACCCATTCTCCATCGAAAAAATCGCAATTTGCCAAATTCTGCACCCGATTATCAAATCCCTGCTTCGCTTCCTTCCCTGAATTGGTTTCATTGCTCTGTTTTGTCGCATTACTTTGTTTGTTCACAAGTGAAGCAGTAAAATTTGATGACACAGTCTTACCTGCATCAACTTTATCTTGATTTCCAGAACCTTCCTTTACCAAAGAACCTGACTTTGTGGGTGTGTTTTCACTTTGATTTGCTGCTACCTGGATTGTAGTTGGGTTGGCAACTGTGGTTTGATTTGGCTTTAAAACTTGACCTTTATCAGAATTCACTGCAGTTTGAGTTTGATTATTTTCAAAGGCTGGCTCTTTAATGACAACTGAAGAATTAGTGGTCCGGTTTGGTTGCAAAGCTCTGCCTTGAGTGAGGTTTTTTACGCTTAGTGGGTCTTTAACTTCTGTTTTAGTATCGGGTGATAAGGTGTTATTAGATCTAGTAGTGTTTTGTGAAGGCATTGAAGAGAAACCACGGCCTTGCTCTTGTGAGGTGGCTGCTGATGTGTTGTTGGGCAAGAAGTAAGAGAAAATCGAAGAAAATTGAGATCTATGAGAATCAGAAGAAGCAGTACTAGTGCTGGTACTAAAAATATTAGCAAACCAGGGAGAGGATGAGTTTGGAGAAGGACTGAATGCCAAGAAGATAGTGAAAGCAACAAAAGCAAACATGAAGCCATAAGCGAAAGTCACCGTTCTCCTTGTTTTAAGGAGAGAAGATAGGTTCTTTATATCTGTAATGATGTTACGTCCACTGATGGAAGAGAGGTGTTTGCTGGCTGTTGTGTCAGCCATGGAAAGACCGAACACTTTATCTTCTTCTCTGGTTTCTATCTCTGAAAAAAGAGAGAGGGAGGGAGGGAGGGAGGAGGAAATGGTACTGTTGTTTAAGAGTGAGAAAGAGAGAGTTGTGTGGCGTTAGAAATCTAAAGTGAAAGGTGATGATGTCTTAGAAAGAGAGAGAGTAGTGGAGAGACAGCCTTCCATACGACAGCGTATAGAGAGATGAAGTTTGTTTTACCATGGGTGGACGAGAAAGAGACTATACAGTTGACATTCGTCAAAAACCATGTCGTTAAGGAAAGGAAGGAAGGATTTTTTTACTATAGCATTAATAATAAAAAATTATTTTTAATATTAATATATTAAAATAATATTAAAAAATTAATTTTTAATTAAAAAATAAAAATCACAAAACTCGGTTTTAACCTTAAGAACAAATAACGCCAGTTGTCTGCATGTCTCGTGAATTACTATGGTAATTTGCTATATTTGGTTAATATCTACCTGACATTTATCTTTTTACTAAAGAAGAGTTTATCTAGTGTAATGAAATTTAAAAATTTTAAATCATATCATGATAGTTTGAGTTTTTACGGTTTGTATTTAAAAATTTATTTAGAAGTATGGTTATAATTATTTTTTATATTAAAATATATATATATATATATAATTTTTTTATTTTAATTTTTTTTTGATTTTAACACATCGAAATAATTTAAAAACATATTAATTTGAGATTAATAAAAAAATAAAAATTTTAAATTTTTTTAAAAATATTTTTAAAATATAAAAATAAACATGCATAAATCATTAAGAGTAAATAAATACTTCATTAAAACATTTAGCAATCATCTAAGAAAACTTATTAATGGGCTGGGGGCACCGCATGTTTCCTTCCAAATCATTTTAACCGTTTCTGTACATTAAATTAGGTGCATTTATTTTATATCGCATTTCCATGCCAACAATATTTCATACTTGCATAATTCCCTGGATTTATAAAAACTAATAATCTTTAAATTTGGATTTTCAATCTAAAATACCATCAATCCAATTTCGTAATTAGAGGCCAGCTAAGGGAGATTGGCAGAGCCGGGCTTCCCGGAAAAAAAATTAAAAAAATCCCTTATTCTTCCTTTAACAATTTAGAATTTTAGAGTTAAAATTATTAAAATTTAAATTTGACCCTCTAGAAAGAATTTATTTTTTTAGTTGTTAAAATATCATTTAATCTGTAAATATTATAAATAAAAATATTTATACAAAAAGTTTATTTTTATTAGTTTCATCAAATTAGTAAAAAAAACCGAACTTAACAAGAAATTTTTTAAATATCCATTTTATTTAAAAACATATTAAAAATATTTTTATTTAAAAAATTAATTTTAATATTAAAATATTAAAATAATTTTAAAATATTAATTTAAAATAAAAAAAATAAATTTAAAAAACACTTCTAAACGTAAAAAATATACCTGCCGTGTGTTTCTAACGAAGGACCCATAAGTCCGTACGTGAGATTCAAAATCAACGGTCAATACTTAAGCAGCGCCAACTCGATAATTTTACTAGGGAGTCGTCGGTGAGCGGCTGTGTGGCCGTGGCGTCATGTGATTGGATGGACCCACCAAGCGGAGAATCCAACTGTGCTATAATTGCGCTGGAGCCAGCGCGCAACGCCACTTGATGAGTCTCATGTCATTGTCGTTTTGGTACTGCTGTTATCCACTATACCCTGTTTATTTACAATTGTATTTCCTCAAACAAAGCAGGTATGATTCTCCGTTGAAAACTGATGCGTTCTGTTACCGCGATCTCCAGTTAGATACGCTTGTAGCAGCAGTTTATATGGATATGCATGCTTAGCTGTTTCCGGTATCACAGCGCATGAGTTTTTTTTTAAAAAAAAAGAAATAAACCGTGTCTTGATATCTTTATATTAAGAATATTAAAAAAATATAATTAATTTAATATTTCTTTCCGTTTAAATTAATTTAATAGAATTGTCCTTTGTTTTTCACAAAAGATCTCTCTTTACTCGGAATGGATCTTCAACGTAATTAGTTTGAACGAAAGGGACTGCAATGCAAATATCCATAAATCAGCCATCATATAATTAAGAAGATTGAAACAAGTGGTTGAATAAACATCACATGATTTAGCTACTCTTCAATTTAATACTTCAAAGAATGTAGTTGGAGTGGAGTGGTTAATTAAAATTAAAAATTATTTTATTTTATTAGTTTTTTAAAGTAATAATTATTTTTAAAATTGTTTATTTAAAAATATATTAAAATAATATATTTTTATATTTATAAAATTATTTTTATCATCAATATGTAAAATCATAAAAATATAACTTTAAACATAAAAAATTTAATTTTTTTATAAATGTTTTTTCCAATTTCAAACTACCCACAACGGATCGTGATCATTATTTTTATATATATTTACTTCCCGGACCAGGCTATAATATTAATATATCAAATATAAGATCAACAAGGGGAGTCTACCAAATTTGAATATATTAACGGCTTATTGAGTGATCTGCGACTTAAATGAGTTATGGATGTATTAATTTATAAGATGGAGAGAAAATCCGTACATAGGAGCGTGGACTTGGCTGGACTTGTGTGCATCACCATTAATTTAAACGCGTCATCATCTTTTATATATATATATATATAGAAAGAGGGGCCTACTAAGCTGTCGGTGCTTAAAGAGTTGCTGATCTCCTTTAATTTTCTTTAGGAAAGAGTTCGACGGTTCTGTGTCCTGTGTTTTTTCCTCGGTAGTGGAGAACAATGTTACGAGCATGAATGAGCATAGTCGGGCCGGGTGCTGAGGTGCCCATACATTTTCCTTTTTTTTTTCTTTTTTCTTTTTGAACGTTTTCAGGAACAAGGTCATTTAAAGTTGAAATCATACCAGTATTAAAATATCAAGAACATTTTAATTTACAAATTATTCCCGTAAACATGTTTATGATGCCGGTAGGATTTAGATTCGATTCCCAACATAGTAAAATACATGTCAATGTCAATATTACATGTTTCATGATTTTTTAATTGAAAAACATTCATTTTTCCTTTTAAATTTTACACAATAAATCTTGTTCCACTTTCCTTATTTTTTATAACAAACTTATGTTCCACTTTCCACATCTTTTACAATAAACCTAATGACGCACTTTTCCTTCCAATACAAATTAATTAATAGCTATCAGCTACCACTTTATTTTTCATAGCAACACTAATTAATTAGCCACCCAACTTCTCTTTCAATACTGATTAATTAGTTATATTTTATAATAAATCTATCTAAATATAAATAATTAATTAATTCACATGTCTTTTAAATAACTTAGGAGTTTTAGTTATTTTTCTTTTCAATAATATATAATTTTAGCTTTGATTTTAAAGAAGAATCTATACAGAGAGCCGCAAGAGTGTAAAATCATCAGGTAAGAATTTACAAGCCATAACTTTTTATTTTGAATTCAATGTTTCACATTCATTACAGTAGATTGTTAGTGGAGGAAACAATAGACTGTATCCTAGAAATGAATGCATGCTAACAAACTAGTAGTCTAGTAATAATAATTTACTCGTTATTTCAAAGTTAAATTCTCCAAATCTCCCAGTAGTTTGCATCATTAGTTTATCCTTATATATTCTGCATTTTATGAATATTCTATTATGGTATTAGTATCTTTCATCCTGCACCTGACTTCCCTAATACTTTTTACTTGAATAGGTTATAAATTATAATGGAAAATCAAGGAAACAAGAGAGGAAAAATGTGTTTTCATTCTTTAAACCAAACGAACAAATATCAACCAGTAAAGGACATTGTCCTTCCAATGTTGATGTGTCAAATCATAGTGAACAACACCCTTTCAAATCTCAAAGAGTTGAAATTGATGTTAATACTCTTTTTCAATACACTTGCTTTGATCAATTTTCTTGGCTAGAGTACTCTGCATCAAAGGATGCAGTATTTTATTTTCCATGCTTTATATTTGAAAACAAAGTGCCTCATCATCTCACATTCACCACCGAAGACTTTAGAAGTTCGAAGAGGGTTAATGATGAGGTTATATGTGCACTTTTGATGCATGTGGAAAGTCCCACTTCACCATATAATAATGCTGTAAAATCTCTGAAGATTTAATAAAAGTAAGTAGACATATTGATAAAGTGTCGAATGCACAAACTATTGAAGAAGTTTAGAAAAATTGATTGAGACTTATGACAACAATTGAAAGTGTTCAATGGCTTAGCTTGCAAGCATGTGCATTTAGAGGTCATGATGAATCTTCAGCTTCTAATAATCGAGGTAATTTTTTAGAGATGATAAGACTTATGAGGAGACTGAATATTAACATTAATGATGTTGTCTTAGAAAAAGCTCTGAAAAATGTAAAGTATACCTCGCCGATTATTCAAAAATAGATTTTGCATATTCTTGCAAAAAAAGTGAGAAAAAAGATTTGTAAAGAAGTTAGAGATGTAAAGTTTTGTATTTTGGTTGACGAAGCCAAAGATACATCAAATAAAGAACAAATGGCTATTGTTTTGAGATTTGTTGACATTCAGAGTTTTGTACGAGAGCATTTTTTTAGTATTGTGCATGTTTCATATACTACTTCTTCAACACTTAAAAAAAAAATTTGTGATGTACTCACTCGATATAACTTGCATATTTTCAATATGTGAGGTCAAGGGTATAATGGTGCTAGCAATATCCATGACACATGGAATAAACTACAAGCTCTATTTCTCAAAGATTATCCTTATGCAGATTATGTATATTATTTTGTTTAACGACTACAACTGGTATTAGTTACAGCAGCTGGAAATGAGATTTCTGTTTGGTTATTTTTCTCAAAATTAACAACCATTATCAACCTTATTTGTGCTTCTCTCAAACATCATACCGAGTTACATTATGCTTAGGCTATAGAAATTGCACATATGGTAGCTATTGGAGAACGTGAAACTAGTAGAGGAGCTAATCAAATTGGTAATTTACATCGAAGTGGAACTACTTGCTGGAGCTCTCATTTTAATTCTATTTGCAGCTTAATAGATATGTATGGTACAACTATTACTATGCTTGAAAGTATGGTTCAAGAAGGATATTCTAATTCTATACATAGAGAAGCTGATGGTTGTTTGATTGTGATA